GTGGGCTAATTTTTCTTATATATTAGTTGGCAGTTAATTCTTTCTATTTATAGTAGAGACGGGGTCTCACTCTTGCTCAGGCTGGTTTTGAACTCCTGACCTTGAGCTATCCACCCGCCTCGGCCTCCCAGAGTGCTAGGATTACAGGTGTGAGCCGAATTCACATTCTTAGCAAAACAATTGCCTGAGTGCACACACACACTCCATACACACCATTATAGGATAGCCATTTATTCTTCATCTTCCTCCTCCTCCCCCTCCTCCTCATCTTCTTCCTCCTCTTCATCTTCTGGTTCATTCTTCTTCTTGAGCCTGATCTTTCCCGGGTAGCTGGGACTATAGGCATGCACCACCATGCCCGGCTAATTTTTTTCTATTTTTAGTTGTTTGGCTAATTTCTTTCTATTTATAGTAGAGATGGGGTCTCGCTCTTGTTCAGGCTGGTCTCAAACTCCTGGGCCTCAAGCAGTCCTCCCGCCTCAGCCTCCCAGAGTGCTAGGATTACAGGAGTGAGCCAGCACGCCCGGCCTTCCCTACTATTTCGTGAGCAAGAAATATACTTCTATCCTGGGAGCCCCGGGTCACCTCCTCAGCGGCCCGGCCGGCGCCAGTGGCGGGAAGGCAGCTAGCGGGCGGGTCAGCGCACTGGCTGCGGCCGGGTGGGGGCGGGGGGCTGGCGACAAGCAGGAAGCTGCGGACCCGCCAGCGTGGGCGGCTGGCGGAACCCGGGCACCCGGAGGCGGCGGCGCAGCAGGTCGCATGGGGCTGCCCCCCCTGGCTCAGCGTTGTGGACCGAGCCTGCTGAGCGACAGGGAGCTGTTAAAAAAAAACAAACAAACAAAAAAAAATGAGCTCTTTCCACTCCTGTAGCAGAAAAATGTGCGGTATCTTCTGCATTGTCATCATCATCATCCAAGAAGAAGCAAGCAAAGCTAGAACACGGAGGATCGTCAGGCGCTAAACGAAATTCTGATTAGAACAATGGATCATTTAACTGGAAAGCTCTATCGGGAAGCTCTGGTTATAAGTTTTGTTGTTCTTGCTGAGATTGTGAGTTACATGCAGGCATGCGAGGAGATAACATATCCTCCGACTTTAGAGGAAATCTGGGACGAAACCCAACATTTAGATATTGGGCTCGAGCAGAAACAATGGCAGCAGTAATGACTGAGGCATTAGCCAACAATCTGGAAGTTGAAGTATTTAATAATAGGTGCGAAGTATGCTTTTCAAGCCCAAGTACAACTTGAAAGAAAAGAGGGCCCTACTTAGGCTCTTAAACATGACCAGACAGCATTAGGAGGGATTCTTTTAGAAGACAAAGAAGAAGGACTGCTCAATTCCCACAAAGTTGTCAAGGCTTTAGGGGACCAGATACTGTTTTTATATTGTCCTGATAAAAAGAAAACACAGTAATCAAGACAGCGTGGTATTGGTTAAAGAACAGACAAATGGGTCAATTGAACAGAATAGAGAGTCTAGAAATAGACCCACACAAATATAATCTATTGATTTTTTTTCTTTTTTTCTTTTTTAAAGACCATCCTTATTTCTGAGTCTATTGATTTTTGGCAAAGGAGCAAAGGCAATACAATGGAGAAAAAGATGGTTTTTTTTCAACAAATGGTGCTGGAACAACTGGACAGCAGCATTTGAAAGGAAAAGTGAATCTAGACACGGACCTTACACACTTCATAAAAATTAACTCAAAATAAATCATGTACCTAAATGTAAAATGCAAAAACTATAAAACTCCTAGAGATAACATAGGAGAAAATCTAAATGAGCTTTGGCTTGGCAATGACTTCCATGATCCATGAAAGAAATAATTGATAAGCTGGACCTCATTAAAACTAAAAGCACAGGCTCTGTGAAAGATAAGCCACAGCCTGGGAGAAAATATTTGCAAAAGACAAATGAGATAAAGAACTGTTATCCAAAATATACAAATAACTCTTAAAACAATAAGAAAATAAATAAACCAATTAAAAAATGGGCCAAAGACCTGAACAGACACAAAGAAGATACACATACAGATGGCAAATAAGCATATGTCATCGACATCATATGTCATTAGGGAACTGCAAATTAAAAGAACAATGAGATATCACTACATATCTTTTAGAACAGTAAAAATCCAGAACACTGATAACATCAAATACTGGTAAGAAGAATGTGGAACAACAAGAACTCTCATTTATTCCTGGCGACAGCGCAAAATGGTACAGCCACTTTGGAAGAAAGTTTGACAGTTTCTTATAAAACTAAACTGTTACCATACAATCCAGCGATCTCACTCCTTAGTATTTATACCCAAATGACTTGAAAACTAGTGTTCACACAAAAACCTGCACGCAGATGTTTAGAGCAACCTTATTCATGTTGCCAAAACTTGGAAGCAACCAAGATGTCCTTCAGTAGGTGAATGGATAAACTGTTACATCCAGACGATGGAATATTACTCAGTGCTAAAAAGAAACGCACTATCAAACTGTGAAAAGACACAGAGAACCTTATAGACATATTACTAAGTGAAAGAAGCCAATCTGAAAAGGCTACATACTGTACGATTCCAACTATCTGGCGTTCTGGAAAAGGCGAAACTCAGGAGATAGTCAAAAGGTCAGTGGTTGCCAGGGGTTGGTGGGAGGAGGGAGGAATGAAGAAGTTGAACACAGATAATTTTTTCGGGGCAGTAGCTCTGTATGATACTATAATGGTAGATATATGTCATTATGTATTTGTCCAAACCTACAGAATGTACAACACCCGGAGTGAACCCGAATGTAAACTATGGACTTTGGCTAATGATGTGTCAATGTGGGTTCATTGATTGTAACAAATGTACTTCTAGTGCAGGATGCGGGTAGTGGGAGAGGCTGTGTGCAGGGTGAGGGGGAAAGGATATAAGGGAACTGTCTGTACTGTTGGCTTAATTTTGCTGTGAACTTAAAACTGCTCTAAAAAATAAAGTCTATTTTTATAAGTCTTCATAAAGATTATATTGTGTTTTAAAATGGAAACAAAAAGGTAATGATATATTTAGAAAATCATGGAAACAAAGTAGCAGAGTGAAAATTTGATGTTACTGAAAGTGTCAGTTCTGTTGACACTATCTGGTGAAACAGGAACATGCCAGCAGCCTAGAAGAAAATCTTAAAGAGACAATAGTGGGGCCGGGAGCGGTGGCTCACACCTGTAATGCTAGCACTCTGGGAGGCTGAGGCGGGAAGTCAGGAGTTCAAAACCAGTCTGAGCAAGAGCGAGACCCTGTCTCCACTAAAAATCGAAAGAAATTAATTGGCCAACTAAAAATATAGAAAAAAATTAGCCGGGCGTGGTGGTGCATGCCTGTAGTCCCAGCTACTAGGGAGGCTGAGGCAGTAGGATTGTTTGAGCCCAGGAGTTTAAGGTTGCTGTGAGCTAGGCTGATGCCATGACATTCACTCTAGTCTGGGCAACAAAGTGAGACTCTGTCTCAAAAAAAAAAAAAAAAAAATTAGCGTTAGTAAAGAAATTAGCTGAAAACTAAAAACAAAATCTATATGTATCTATCTATCTCTATATATAAAATTAGCCAGGCATGGTGGTGCACATCTGTAGTTCCAGCTACTTGGGAGGCTGAGGCAGGAGGATCTCTTGAGCCCAGGAGTTTGAGGTTGCTGTGAACTAGGCTGATGCCACGGCACTCACTCTAGCCTGGGCAACAGAGTGAGACTCTGTCTCAAAAAAAAACAACAAAAAGACACACACTTAGACCTGGGCAGGAGGGTCTACCATTTGGCTCTCTGCTTAGTTCAGCGCTTCTCTAACTTCATACAGATCTCCTGGGCATCTTGTGAAAATGCAGATTCTGATTCAGTAGGTCTGGGGTGGGATCAGCATCTCTAACAAGCTCCCGGGTGTTGCTGATGCTGATGCTGCTGTTCCAGGAGCCACCCTATGGGTAGCAAGGCTGTGGAGGGCCCCGCTTATCACAGATACTTAAACATAAACCCCCTTTTCATTTTTAGCCTTGTAAGAAAGTTTTTGAAAGTTCAATAACCAAGTGAGGCAGGGCACTCTGGGAGGCCGAGGCGGGAAGATTGCTCAAGGTCAGGAGTTCGAAACCAGCCTGAGCAAGAGCGAGACCCCGTTTCTACTATAAATAGAAAGAAATTAGCAGATAACATATATATATATAGAAAAAATTAGCCGGGCATGGTGGCGCATGCCTGTAGTCCCAGCTACTCAGGAGGCTGAGGCAGCAGGATCGCTTGAGCCCAGGAGTTTAAGGTTGCTGTGAGCTAGGCTGATGTCACAGCACTCACTCTAGCCCGGGCAACAAAGGGAGACTCTGTCTCAAAAATAAAATAAAATAAAATAACCAACTGAGCAAATGGGAATTATGGAAGAGAAATGTGTGAGTTCAAGTGGAAGTGAGCTGAGAGCCTGCATGTGTGTGTTGGTGGGTTCTGTAAAGTGCACAGGAGTCTGGGCCCAGAGCAGCCCTGTCCAACCTGCCCCAGCAGTTCTGCTGTAACGCTCAGGCTTGCAGGTGGCAGTCCAGGAAAGACTTTGGCTCCTCTAGCCTCTGGATCGTGAGGACTGTCCCAGGTGAGCAGGCTAAGGGTGTGAATGTGGGCCAGGCCCTGGCATAGCTTGTGTTATACATCTAAATCTTTAGACTTACCTGGCCGGGCACTGTGGCTCATGCCTGTAACCCCAACACTTTGGGAGGCTGAGGTGGGAGGATCGCTTGAGGCCAGCTATTTGAGACAAGCCTGGACAACATAGCAAGACCCTGTCTCTACGAAAAATTAAAAAAGTAGCTGGGCATGGTGGTGTACACCTGTAGTCTCAGCTACTTGGGAGACAGGAGGATCACTTGAGCCCAGCAGTTTGAGGTTGTAGTGAGCTATGGTGACACCACTGCTCTTTAGTCTGGGCAACTGAGAGACACTCTGTCTCCGAACTAAGTAAATGAATGAATGAATGAATGAATGAATATTTAGACTTACCATATGTGAGCCTTCATTTGTACTGTTCTCCTGGACCTTAGAAATTAGCAGTGGGCCTGCAGGATATAATAATAATAACATAATAACAGTTAACCTTTGAACATTAGAACTCATGGAAAATAAGAAAAAAAAATTATAAATAAAAAATAACAGTTAACTTGTATGCCAGACTATGTTCCAAGTTACATATATTAACTCCCATAATTCTCATAACACACCTCTGAGGAATTAGAGCTATGGTCATCACTCCTGCAGATAAGGAGACAGGGGATTTTGCAGTTTGGTTCCAGCATCTGTGCTCTTGACCACAGTGCTCGGTCGCCACCACCCAGATAAGGGAGCCTCTTGGAGGAAGCCTGAAGGACAGAAGAGGCAGCCATGTGACAAGCGGGAGGAAGAGCACAGTCAGGGTTGAGGGAACAGGCAAAGTTCATCTCAGGGGAGGAGAAGACCTTGCATTAAGGAACCAAAAAAAAGTTCAGTTTACTGAACTTCCAAAGATTAGGATGGGGAAGAATGGTCCAAGATGAGGCCAGAAAGATAGTCAGGGTCTAGGTCACGTTGGGCCTTGTGCAGAGTTTAGAAGCCATTGGAGGGTTTTACACTGGGACTATGGGGATGTACCACCATGCCCAGCTACTTTTTAAAAAGTTTTTTAGAGATGGGATCTCACTATGTTGCCCAGTCTCATCTCAAACTCCCAACCTCAAGCAATCCCATCTTGGCCTCCCAACGTGCTAGGATTATGTGCATGAGCCGCCACACCCTGCTGAATTTAGATCTTTCAGTAGAACCCCTGCAATTGTAGCCCCTTGGCATTTTTCTCCTCTTTCTTCTCACAGCTGAGACCCCTGGAGACCAGGGACGGGAGTTCAATGTCCCTCTCACCCTCTATTATGTGTCTTTGGTGAATAGACACTGAGGTATGAAACAAAAATGCATTTGGCTGTAATATTTGCAAGACCCAAGAAGGTACTGGAAACAGATTCTTTTCATAGGAAGGAAAGGATGATGTTTTCTGGGAAAAGGCTCTGACTCATCAGGGATTAGGAGAGAACTGTGGACAGAGGTGGAGCCTTAGGAATGAGGAGGTGTCAGTGAGTTATCTACAAATTAGTCCTCATCTTGAGTGCAGTGTCAGGAGCGAGGTTGCTAAAGCAGAAGCTCCACCTGAGGTCTGTCTTCTTAACACCAGGAGAAATGTTCTAAATGTTGTAGTAAAGACAACCCCTTATGACATAGTGTATATTTATTTCAGGGGAGGCTAGCAAGGCAGAATCCGAACAGGGAATCAGCTCACTGTCATTTAACAGACATCACTACATCCTTATTAGGGACCATTGAGTGGCAGCCTGGCTGGAACACATTATGCTCTATCCCCTCCCCCTCCATGGGTTTCTCCCTAAAGGGTCTTCCCTTTGGGAAGAAGGGAAGGGGCTTGCCACCTGGGTCCCCCTTTTCCTTGAGTTATTTTGAGTAGTGTATTAGTTTGCTAGGGCTGCCATAACAAAATACCACAGACTGAGTGGCTTAAACAACAGAGATTTATTGTCTCACAGTTCTGGAGGCTAGCAGTCCAAGATCAAGGTGTCAACAGGGTTGATTTTCTTTGAGGCCTCTCTCCTTGGCTTGCCAGTCTCCTGTGTCTTCACATGGTCTATCCCTTGTGTGTGTCTGGGTCCGAATGTCCTCTTTTTATAAGGACATTCATCATATTTAACTTAATTAGCTCTTTAATGACTCTGTCGCCAAATACAGTCACATTCTGAGGTCCTGGGGGTCAGGACTTCAGCATATTGTCAACAGAAAAGAAGCAAACTCTGGGCCGGCGCGGTGGCTCACGCCTGTAATCCTAGCACTCTGGGAGGCCGAGGCGGGTGGATTGTTCGAGGTCAGGAGTTCGAAACCAGCCTCTGAGCAAGAGCGAGACCCCGTCTCTACTATAAATAGAAAGAAATTAATTGGCCAACTAATATATATGTGTAGAAAATATTAACCGGGCATGGGTGGAGCATGCCTGTAGTCTCAGCTACTCAGGAAGCTGAGGCAGAAGGATTGCTTGAGCCCAGGAGTTTGAGGTTGCTGTGAGCTAAGCTGACGCCATGGCACTCACTCTAGCCTGGGCAACAAAGCGAGACTCTGTGTCAAAACAAAACAAAACAAAAAGAAGCCAAACTCTGTAAAATAATTTAAAGAAGTTTATTCTGAGCTAAATTTGAGGACCACGGCCTGGAGCCACGTCCAATAAGCCTTGAGCAAGTGGACTCACTGTGGTTGGGTTACAGTTTGATCTTGGACACTTCAGGGAGAATTACAGGTAAAGTCCTGAATCAATAGGTGGAAGGCATACATTGGTTTGTCCTGAAAAGGTTGGTGGGGAGGACTTACAGGTTATAGGTGGATTTAAAGACTCTTTGACTTGTAATTGGTTAAAGGAATGAGGCTTTGTTTAAAGGTTTGGAATGTTTTAAGGTAAGGAAGTCTGTTAATCAGAGACAGCTTTGTAATGAGCTACAAAGGGTATCTACAAGAAGGGAGGGGGCATGATGAGACTTATCTGACCTCCCTTCTCATGGCCAGTAACTCAGTTTTAGAGTATCCCAATGGCCAAGAGGGGGTCCATTCAGTCAAGGGGGGGGCGAAGCTTAAGATTTTATTTTAGTTCACAATTCTTCCCTTTTGGCCAAGATCTACCAGAAGTGAGATCTATAGCCAAACTCTTATTTTGTCCCATCTGTTGCTGGGGTGGTGTGGCTACCTGCCCCGGGTCCATCCAGGCCCTCGGTGGGATCCTTGTGGCCAAGAGCACTGAATAGCCAAAAGGGCTTACAGCCAATTAAATGCTTTAGGCTAGATGGGACAGGCACTCATCAACCTTTTAAAACCTAGTCAACATAAGGGTAAAACTCAAAATGTCAAAAGCCAAGTCTATCCTCATGACAACAGCTTTCTCCCAGAACCAAAAGAAACAAAAAAAAGAAAAAGAAAAAACGAAAAGAAATAATAATAATAAAAAAAGGCAAGGCTACAAAATTAATTCATCTATAAGTATTGAGCTATTATATTCTTGGACTTAGTTGTACACTTGCAGCAAACATAAGCATTGTTAACCATTCAGGCTAAGGAATTTAGGGACTTTTGTTGCATCACAATATTTTAGTCTCTTTAGTAATTTGTCCTAAGGTGACTGATAAATTACTTGTTGTATCTCCTTTTGTATAAACCCCAAAACTGAGAACAATTATACTCAGGAAGTTCTAAGTCTATGGGAAGCAGGAAATTTTTAATGATTGAGATGGCTATCTGTACTACACGGCCGGCCGGGAAAGGCAAAGTCTCTCATTTCGTATTTGTTTAGGCCTCTGTGCACCCATCCTTGATCTGGAGGAACTAAAGTAATTCTGTCCCTTGGAATCAGCCCTTACAATCTCACATCCCCCTCTTCCGCAATAGTCCCTGGGCCTAGAGGGAGGATGTTTTCAGTCTTAGTCACAGGGCGTTGGCAGTGAATAACAAACAGGTTGGGCTCCCCCCTTTTTTTCCCTACCACCTCTCCTCTCTGGATTCAATCCTTTTAAATCCCAGAGATATATAGGAAACTTCCTATTTACTTAAAACTTGTCATGACTCTGGAAAACAAAGCAAGAGAATCAGTAATGTTTTAAATAAAAAGTCATAAAAATATTTTAGTCCTTTCCATGACACTTTTCTTAAAGAAGTAAATCTTGTACTGTAGCTGATTATAAACTATTGTTTAAGAAGAACAGGCAGGTGCGTGGCTCACGCTGCAACTCAGCTCTTGGGAGGCCGAGACGGCGCATTGCTCAAGGCAGGAGTTCAAACCAGCCTGAGCAAGAGCGAGACCCCGTCTCTACATAAATAGAAAGAAATCAATTGGCAACTGATATATATATTAAAAAAATTAGCCGGGCATGGGGGCGCATGCTGTAGTCCCAGCTACTCGGAGGCTGAGGCAGAAAGGATCATCTCGAGCCCCAGGAGTTGAGGTTGCTGTGAGCTAGGCTGACGCCACGGCACTCAACTCTAGCCTGGCACACAAAGCGAGACTCTGTCTCAAAAAAAAAAAAGAAAGAAGAAAATCAGGCCAGGTGCGGTGGCTCACGCCTGCAATCCTAGCACTCTGGGAGGCTGAGGCAGGTGGATCGCTCAAAGTTAGGAGTTCGAAACCAGCCTGAGCAAGAGTAAGACCCTATCTCTACTAAAAAAAATAGAAAGAAATTAATTGGCCAACTAAAAATATATAGAAAAATTAGCTGGGCATGGTGGCACATGCCAGTAGTCCCAGCTACTCGGGAGGCTGAGGCAGGAGGATCACTTGAGCCCAGGAGTTTGAGGTTGCTGTCGGCTAGGATGATGCCACGGCACTCTAGCCCAGGCAACAGAGTGAAACTCTGTCTCAAAAAAAAAAAAATCCTGGCCGGTGCGGTGGCTCACACCTGTAATCCTAGCACTCTGGAAGGCTAGGACCAACTAAAAATATATATACAAAAAAAGTTAGCCGGGTATGGTGACGCATGCCTGTAGTCCCAGCCTCAGGAGGCTGAGGCAGGAGGATTGCTTGAGCCCAGGAGTTTGAGGTTGCTGTGAGCTAGGCTGACGCTATGGCATTCACTCTAGCCTGGGCAACAAAGTGAGACTCTGTCTCAAAAGAATATTTTTTTGTATATGTATACAAAAAACATCCACATTTTGATTCCACCTTTAAATAACCTCTGAATTAGACAAAATTACATATATATGTAATAAGAGCACATTTTGCACTTCTTTTGTAATTTTTGTTATTAAAAACATATCTTGGCGCGCGAGGTGTCTCACGCCTGTAATCCTAACACTCTGGGAGGCCAAGGCGGGCGGATTGCTCCAGGTCAGGAGTTTAAAACCAGCCTGAGCAAGAGAGAGACCCCGTCTCTACTCTAAATAGGAAGAAATTAATTGGCCAACTAATATATATAGAAAAACTGAGCTGGGCATGGTGGCGCATGCCTATAGTCTCAGCTACTCGGGAAGCTGAGGCAGGAGGATTGCTTGAGCCCAGCAGTTTGAGGTTGCTGTGAGCTAGGCTGATGCCAGGACACTCACTCTAGCCTGGGCAACAAAGTGAGACTCTGTCTTAAAAAAAAAAAAAATCCACATTTTGATTCAACCTTTAAATAACCTGTGAATTAGACAGGATTACATATGTATGTAATAAGAGCACATTTTGCACTTCTTTTGTAATTTTTGTTATTAAAAACATATCTTGCCTCTGCCTGTGGGTGCTGCGGGGAAGCATCCTTACAGTCCCTCTTCCCACTGCC